CTTTTTAAAAAAATTTAATTTAAAGAAAGACTAAACAAAACAGAAAATGGGTAAAAATAATACATAATTTCTAAGAAATCACTAGTTGATGGTTACAGATTGTCTTCTTACAGTTATTTCAAGATACTAAAGTGGAGCATATAAAGTGGGGATTCAAACAGTGAGATCGCAACCATTTCTGTTCAACTATCCAACAAAAACTTAGAAATATGGTTATCAATCCTATACACTTAAACATACATGCAGTTATCCATATCTTCAATTATGTTGGGATTGAATAAACTCAAGCAGGCTAATATCACTCTGAACAAAGAATAATACTAGTGCTGTGATCCGGCCCGCGGATCAATCGGTGGGGTGTACCTCGAGGGGGAACAGGGATGAAATAGAGACGGGGGGGGGGGAACAAAGAGAGATGGAGATAAGAAGAGTATTCCAATCTAGTCTCATTTATTCAGGAAGTGATCACATCTTTTATAGGCCAAGGGCGGGCTGGTGGGACAGGAAGAGGCTATGGGGATGAATACAACAGGGTCATCATCACGTCTGGGTATATGACATAAGCAGGAGAAGATTATGGTTAATGTAGGCAGACGCATCATAAGCCCATAGGAGAGAGGCGGGGAGGCAGCAATGGGGCGGTTGTGCCGCTCCCTACAGTGCTGGGTTTCACATTATGACACTCCAGGGTCAGCACTGGATATTTTAGTGTTTCTTTTTCTTCAAAGTATCTGTTCATTTTATCATGTGTCATAAGATCAGTTTTCATAAACTGTATAGATTGTACACATACATGAGTCTTAACATGTATTTCTATCCTTTCTATTTTAGAGGGAGAAACAAAACAAAGCAAGGCAAAACAAAACATATTCCTATAAACATATGAAACAAAATAAACATATAAGACTGTTGTACAGGAGTTCTACCATGGTTCCTGTGTTGTCTCTTTGTTATCTCCAATAGAATTGGCTATATCATCAGACATAGTATAATTGAATCAGTACATAACAGTATTAATAAAAACACAACTTTGTATATAGTATAGAACTTCAAAAACCGGCAGTTATCAAACCAGAATGTGTATCATAGAGTCTTGTCATCCTCAGAGTAGTTGCCTATACTCTCAGACTTGATACTATCAATTGTATCAGTTTTGAATAAAATCTTCTCTGCCTCATTTCTGTTATGCTCTTTTTTTGCCATCAGTTGTCTGCTTATCTTCTTCATTCTGTTTTCTGCTCCATTCATTGAGGCCTTTCTGTCACTGTTCCTGGAATCCTAGTACTTTTCTCTCTCTAAAATGCCCCGCAGTATTCTCTGTAGAGTTGGATTGGTGGTTGCAAATTTCCCAAGGTCCTCTTTGTCTTGAAAGCATCTTGTTTCTACATTAATTTCTCGAGACAGTTTATCAGGGATATTAATATGGGCTGGAGGTTATTTTCTTTGAGGGCTTGGAGTCCAGGCTCTTCTTGACTTGATGATTTGTGTCGAGAAGTCTGACATTATTCTGATTGGCTTTCCTCTGTAGGTTATCTGTTTCTTGTCTCTAACAGCTTTTAATATTCTGTTCTTATATTGAATTTCTGGGTTCTTGATTATTATATGCCTGGGTATAGCTCTGTTTTGGCTGTAGGTGGCTGGAGTTCTGTATACCTCATATATTAGAACATCATTTCCTTTTCCTATGTTTGGGAATTTTTCCTTATTTCTGTGAATAACCTTTGTAGTTCCATTGTTTGTATCCCAGCTTCTTGATTCACATTCTTTATTCTCGTTATAGATCCTTTTGTCATCTTCTAGTCTTTATATTGTTACTGCTTGTTTCCTTGTTATTTTTAAAAACTTTTCCCTTTCATACTCCCACATTGCAAAATTGTCCTCCAGTTTGGATAATCTATCCTTAGTTTCTTTCAAGCTGATTTGCCATCTTTCCATAGAGTTTTTAATTTCCTGGTGATCTCTTTGAATCTGCTTCATGTATTCTATATATTTTTTTTATATTCTGCACCAAATGGTTCTCTCCTTTGTTTGAGTTTCTCCCTTCTTCCATCTGTGTCTGCTTGAGGGGTACTTAGTATCTCTTTTATTAATCTTCTTACATCTTGCTTTATTTGGCTAAATAGTTCACTTTTGAATTTGTCTGTGAGGTCCCGAATATATCTCTTTGTGTCCACTGGTGCTGTGTCTGATATTGCATGTTTGCTGTTCTCATTCTCCTTTGTATTACCTGTCCTGGGTCAATGTTCTCAGGGTTGGGGCGTGGGGACTTTTTGTTATTGCTTCTTCCAGGAGGCCCCAGTTTCTTTCTTTGTTGGTTACAATTCTTCTGAAGCATGCTGGCTAGATGACCCTTCACACTGCACGTGTTAGTGAGTTGCAGACAGAGACAACATATGCGGGCCCCTCCCCTCCAGATTAGTCAAGCTGCTGTGGCCTGCACTACTGTATTACTTTGCCCCACCTCCCCTCAGGACCAGCCAAACCTCAGAGGCTCCACTGTGCCAGGGTGGTTAGTGTGCGCCACCACTACAGAGACTTGACCTCGGATAACCTATTGGTCTCAGCTGGTCATGTGACCCAGGCCTAGCTCACTCCACCAATCCCATTTAGGAAGGGAACAATTTCCTGCAGTCACTGCCGACCCTTGTACTTGCCAGCCCTGCCCAGTCCCAGAATGTTGTCTGCCAGAGCCCCCCTATTTATGGAATGGCTCCACTCCCACCACTCACCACAGGTCGATGTAGGCACCCTGCCAACTCAGCTCTCCTGTTCTGCTCACTGGCCCCCAAACTCAATGTAACTGTGCCTCCAATGAGTCTATGTTTCCCCTACTAGACCTGGGTCGGCTAGAAACTTGAGATTGCATTTGGTTCTTTCATTTTAGCATTTTCCTGTGTTCCTCCAATTCTATTGGATGCTATGTACCTGTAGTTGCTTCCTGTGCTGGCAGCCCAGGTGGCAATAATCTCCACTGAGTGTTGCTGATGGTTGTGGGTCTCTGGGTTGGGCTCCCAGTCCCTAAGAGCTTCAGAGATGGTTTCCAGGTGTGGAAAGGTCACTGAGGGCAGACTTCCAGTCCCTGTAGGCATTTCTGGATGACAGTGAGTCACTGGGCGCAGACTCCCAAACACCTTGGGCCGTAGGGAAGGTTCCTGGATGACTTTGGGTCACTGGGTACACTTCCTAGTCCCTACAGGCCTCACTGTGGGTTCTTGGATGACCACAGGTTGCTGTGCAGACTCCCAGTCCCCTCAGGCTTCAGAGAGTTTTCAGATGTCTGTGAGCTGCTGGGTGCAGACTTCCAATCCCTGTGGCCCTCAATGATATTTTCAAGGATGACTGTACGTTGCTGGGTGTGGAGTCCCAGACCCTGTAGGCCTCACGAAGTGTTCCTGGATAGTTGTGAGTCACTGGGTGCAGCTTCCCAGTTGCCAGGAGCCTTACCTAAGGCTCCTGGATGTGGGTGGATCACTGAGTGCAGCTTTCTAGTCCCTGTGGGCCTCACCATGGGTTCCCAGATGGCCACGAGTCTCTGGGTATTTGCTTATGTTTTGTAGAGGTTTCAGTTCATAGTTGGCTGGGTCCAAGGCAGGGTGGCAAGGCAGAGGGGGCATTATAGAGGAGAAATAGTTCATTATGGAAGAAGTCAGAAGGAAGCAAAGCAGCAGAGTAATGAAGAAGTAGCAAGTGATGACAGCAGCCCTCTCTCTGTTCCTTATATTCTATTCAGCCACAGCCAGGGTGAGGCACCCTTAATCCTAACACTGAACCATGAATTAACCTCAGCATCAATCCTTAATACCAGTATCACAAACTAGATCCACAAACCTGAAAAATTCTCACTTCTGACTACATGAGGTTTTGGAGGGGCATTTAGACACAAGGCATAACAGATGACTCTTCTGTCCCTGTCCTCCATTTCCTTTTCCTTCTCTACCACCTCCTCTTCCGCTTTTTTTTCTACCTTCTTATTCTAGCCTCCACCTTCCACCTGACCCTTTTTCTACTCATGATTAGAATGGGGTTATAGGTTTTGAGGGAAGATCATAGGTCATGTGCTTTCCTTATCATACCAATTATAAATGTTTTACAGTATTTTATTATAATTGTCAATAAGGGTATTTTGCAAAGTTTTCTTGGAATTGTCAACATTCTCAAGGATATGGCAATAAAGAAATGTAGATAACTTGGTGCTTAGAAAAGATTTAGAAGTCAAGTATAGGGTCCATACCTGTAATCCCAGCCCTTTACAAAGCTGAGGCAGGAAGATTGTTAATTTTAGCTCAACCTGTGCAGTTTAGAACTTAGTGAGACCATTTTAGAATAAAAAAAATAGGGGCAGGGTAGCTCAGTGTGAAGGTCTTGGGTTCAACCCCAAGTAGTGGAAAGAAAAAAAAAAAAAAACCAGAATACTGTCTTATTCACCTTTTTCTTGTTGCTATGACAAAATAGCCAGCACCCAAAGTTAAAGGAGGAAAGGTTACTTTGGCTCAGTTTGCAGAGATTTCAGTCCATAATTGGCTGGCTCCAAGGCAAGGTGATATGGTGGAGGCGCATGATAGATGAGAAAGTTTCTGGCAGGCAGAAGACAGCCGAAGAATCCAAGAAGCAAGTGATAAGTGAGAATCCTCTATCTCTTATATTTTACCTAGGTTTCCCACTCTTAGGGCAAGTACCCCTCACAACCTTTAATTCTAAGATTGCATCTTTGATCCCAGATTCATACACTTTAGATCTAGCCACTTCTGAAAAACTCCATGAGGCTTCTGGGGGACATCTAGACAAAAGCGCTAAAAAACGCACTCTTAACTTTAGGAATGTAATGTTTAGGATTATGTGCTAGTTAAAAATAAAGTTGTGCATGGAGACAAAATTTCCAAAGATCCTCAGCCAGTTTTTCTTCTGGCAAAGTAAATAACCCTGAATCACTGACTGTGATATTCAACATAGATGATGAAAGATGTGGGAAAGTATATCTACGGAACCAAACAAGCCAAACATTTCCATTCTTACCATTTCTTTATTGTTTCTGAAGCAGCTCAGTTAGAACTTGTGAGAAGAAAGGCCATTTTATAATGAGGGATGCAAATTGCCTTACACAAATTGGAAGTGTACAGACGTACAATAAAAGTGATATGCATTGAGTGGACAGAAGTTAGTATACTGTGAGAAAATGACAAATGAACTAGCTCCTGAATAATGGGGTCACAACAGTCAGTGGGTAAGTGAATTTGAAAAATCAGGTTAGTTCTAATGTTTACAGTGCTCCCTAGATGAAAGTGATCACCAGTCATACAAACTGATACACCTGATAACAGGATGCAGGGGGAACTTTCCAGAATCGCCTTAAACCCAACTTGGTGACTGACAAACATTTTCTATTGAACAACTACAATATTTTTGAAACAGTAACCCAATAAGAGTGCTCTCAAGTATACATTTACAATTAAGTTTCAGAAATAATTTTGTCATAAAAGAAGCTTAAGACTCATAAGGCAAAGTGAACTTTGATGAGTTTTATATTTCGAGAAAGAGGCCAGTAAGACGAGCAAAATATGCTCCTTTGTTAAAAATTTTAAATATCTTTCTCTTTAAAATATGTCTTCAAAAAGTAAATTGGTCTTAAGCAAGTATAAATTTCAAGTAATAATGCACTTACGTAAAATTTAAAACTGGATGGCTTCAGAAAAATCAGGGTAACAGGAAGGTTGCCAGGGAAAGCTAGTGAGCTTGAAGAAAAATTCTTTTTTTTTTTTTTTTTTTTAATTTTATTTAAGGAGAAAAAAGAAAAAAAAAAAAAACGGAAAAAGGTTGCAAGTTATACAGACTTTCAGAAAAAATAAACAGTAGGAAATCACTAGTTAATTACAAATTGTCATCTTAGAAATAGTTGTTGAAGTTACAAAATTAAAGCATATAGAGGGGACTTTTAAACAGTGAGACTGCAAACAGTTTTATTCAATGATCCAACAAAAATCAGTAATATGGTTATCTATCTTATACACTTAAATATATATGCAGTTATATCTTTTAGAGAACTTTCTTTTCCTTTCTTTTGTACAATGACAATTACACACTTTGGGTTTTATTACTCCCACAGCTCTTATAACTTTTTTTTTTTTGAAGAAAGTAAAACCAAATGTGACATACCAGGACAGAGTCAGTCAAATCAAAAGAATGGACATAATACATAGGAGAAAAATTCTGACATTGTATATTTGTAGTTTGGAGCATTTTATGAGTACTCTTTTGTTCACAAAGAATCATAATTCACATATATTTAATTTACTGATTTATAGTATACAACTAAAATACTTAAGGTATTACCCAGAGATAGGGTGTTAAATATAACATGGATCTCTATGGATTAATTTTTAAATGCAAGACCCTGAGGCTTATTTGTGCTATAGAAGAAATGGAATTATTAAATAATACTTTAGGGACTAAACTTCTTTTCTTTCAAAATGTGTAATTAACCTTCATAGAAATTATATTTTTGTGATATCTTTGCTTTAAGGAATCCAGTTAGAGACTTTTCTCCTTTAAAGTTTAAATTTGATTATAAAACTCCTATCTCTTTCTATGTTGTCAACAGGGTTACTTGATATTAATATATGAAGTAAAGTTGTCTTAGAGTTCTGAAGCACAGCTTTATAAGCTTTGGAGTATGCTGAGTGTATGGTAGACAAGGGATACACTATTTCCTATCTAAAAGTCCAGAAGTGTCAATCAGGTCCAGTAGCATTTATAAAGTACCAGATATCTATGCTCCTCTTTATCTTGTTGATTTGCTGTGTATGACCATTTCCCAGGGTCACTTGCCCCAGACTGTTACCCCAGTTTTAGCCATCATGAATGTACTCTAGTTTAAGAGTGGAACAAAAAGGAAGGGCAACTTATCTCCACTTAAGGACATACTAATTGTTATATCTCACTAGCTAGAACACAAATCACTTAGTCACATCTAAGTAAGAAAGCAAGCATTCTGGGGAGTCATATAAAATGAGAATTCTATTGTAAAAGGAGAGAAATGATACTGGTGGATAATTCAGAGTCTTTGCCACATCCTTCATTTAAACGTATGTAATAAGGCAGAGGAAAGGCTGGAGAACCACTGGCTTTCCTTTCAGGGAGGGGCAAGCTGCTTACCACATGGCAGAGTTACCTGGAGACTACACTGCTTGCATAAGGTGAACCTAGAAGCAGGAAGACTACACATGCTTGTATCCCTCTTATTCCTGGCCCACTGAGGAGACTTCCTAATTGATGTTTGGCTTCTCTAAGGGGCAGTATAATGAACTGTCATACGGCAAGAAACCAGTACATGATTTGGCACCACAGTAACAAGGTTTTCTTAGTTTCCCATTATCTGGTCTCTCTGCGTCTTCACTGTCCATTAGATTAAGATATCTTCCTGAATAGTCGTAAGACAGTTCTTCTCCTGGAAAAATGTCTTTAGCTGCAAAAAGTGCTAACCTAGGTACCATTGAGTCAATTCGAACTGGTACCATCAACAGGTTTGGTTCACAAGAATGATTAAGGAATCTTCCAATATTTCCTATATAGGTAGGGTCAACAAATGTTTCCATTATCTGTCCGTTATAAATATGTTCCCTGATGGCTATAATGTAATTTGAGTCATTTGTTGTTTGTAAGTTAATTCTTCTTTGTACTTCAGGGAATCCTAAAACCTCACCAGCATATTCACAGACAAACTTTCCTTTTGGTATAAGTTCCAAGGTACGAAGTCCCCAGCCTTTTTTATCTGTCTTGAACACCTGGAGGTAGAATTGTATACCCCTCTGGACCACTCTATTTCTGCAGTGGTCACCACACTGGCAAAGGACATTGCATTCAAAAACAGGCTTGGCATACTTTGCTTCTGATCCTGTATCTCTAAGGCACAAATTGTCATCATAGGCCTCTTCATGGCGGAGACAGGAACAAGTTCCAGGGAGACACAGAGCTTTGACACAAATGCATCCAGGAAAGGTTATCTGAGATGGATCAATGTCTGCTCCAGGTCCAACTACATGATCAGGGGTATACTGTAAAAGATATACATACTGTAAATTAGCATGAGTATGTCACATTCAAGTAGCTTTTTGCTAGGTCATTTTGTAATTTTAACATATATAAAAACAAAAAACTCCCATGAAACATAAAAATATTGCTGAAAAAGATCTCTCCAATTTAAAAGATAATTAAGTTTTCAATTTAAAATTTTGTGGTTTTGCTGAATAAGGGTAACAACAGAATGTTTTTTTTCTCTTATCAGAAGTTAAAAGCTTTACAGCTCATTTTGTTTCCCTTTTAGTTTTGGATGTCAGAACAGCTGTATATTTAATAGGCAGTTCAGTATTTTATCCTTATTTTTTGATTACTTTTATCTTTATTTAATAATGTACAACAAGTACATACATATTTTTATTGTAAGTTATTTTGGGCCCTTTTTGGAGATAAAGTCCTAAGTGATAAATCAATTATGGACAGAATTCCAAACAATGGCATTTATTTAATAATACTTAACTTTTTTTTTTTGATGTATCATACACATGTAAAGAAATTCTGAGTGTTTGTTTTGGTATGGGGTTACTGAACCTAGGGCTCTAGGACACACAGCAACATCTCCAGGCTCCTCTTACCCTTTTAAAATTTTTTTGTATTTTCAGTCAGGTCTTATGAAGTTACCCAGGAGAGACTCAAATGTGAAAATCTTCCTGCATCAGCCTCTCTAAGTACTGGGATTATAGTTGTGTACCACTGTTCTAGCTGAGATTCTGTTCTTATTAGAAGAGAAAAGGGTAATATGAAAATCTTTGTTGGTGTTTTAAATGTGCTTGTATTTTAAAAATATTACACTTGAGGATTTCTGGGAAGATGATGTAATGGTGAACAACAGAGAAACAGCCTGAGACTTGGTGTCCAGCCACTGGAAAACAGCAACATGAGGAACAAAAGGAGTGAAGTGGGTCCCCAGGACTCAACAAGGATCTCAACAAGGACTCAAGTGAGGATTTGAGACCATGGAAAAAGAGAAAGATCTCAATGCAGAGGAAAGTGGCAATCAGTGCTTTCTCTCTGAGTCCCGACTCACCGCATAGGTGGGGCGATTCAAACCTGCAATGCACAGTGACTGGAGAACCCACAGACTTCCATGGAGAAACACACTAGTGGAATGAGTGTGGTAGACTGCTCAGGTTCACACGTCCTCCTGGAAAGTCAGTAATTGGCCAGTAGCCATCTTGCAGACAGGCCACTAGAGCCCAGAACTCAGAGCAGAACCGAGTTCAAGTTAGCAGGAGATCAGAGAGCTGAGTTCAAGCCAGCAGGAGGCACACAGAATGTTGTAGGCTGAATAAATCAGATTCCAGCCTCACAGTCAGAAATCAGCCTGCACTTCATAAGGTGCAGGCTTAGTGGGAGTATACACCACCCCCTGTAAATCTGCAGCAGGCTTGCTAGGATTAATCAACATGGACCTCGGATCTGTCTGCACACTCTGTCTGCCAGTAATAGCAGAGACACATCATGAAGTGGACACTTTTTTTTCTTTTTGCCTTATTTTTTTGATTGTTTTTCTTTGAGTGTGAACAGTTTTTAGATTTCTTTTTGTTGTATTTTCTTGTTTTGATTTTTTTCCTTCTCTTTCCCACCTGCCTTCTTTACCAGTTTCCCTAAGTTTATGTAATCTGCCAGCCTTGATTCTGATCTCTTCCTCCATTTCTCTATTCTTTCCCCCTAAACCCTTTTAAATTTTCTCCACTGAGGCTAAAATTGCCATATGAAGGGCATGTTTATTGTACACAATTTTATGGTTTGATATTTTGTTATATAACCACAAGTACAGTTTATGCAGTTTGTGGCAAGAGTTACCATAGTCTGTCATTTTCTAGGATGTGTTTGATGTTAGTTTTATTGCTGATGGTACTACTTTAGCCAAAGTGAAATAACTGTTTTAACAGTTGTTTTTTTTTGGTATGCCAAGGCTGTGTTATGGATTAATAACTGTTGGTCAATTTAATGCCAGATGAATTAAATCAGCATGGTGCTGAGCATAGATGTTCCATCTGAGGAATGTTGCCAGCATAAATAGAGACATGGAGAAGGAGAAGTTAGGCATTGTGGGTTTTTTTAATGTGTTGCTGCTTGAGTCATTCCTCTCCTGGAGGAGCTCTGGTTCTTATATCAAGCATTGCTTCCTGGTTCTGGAGGGGAAGACTTGTGCTATTTAACCTCTAGGATAAAGTCATCATGCTGGCTTCCTGGGCATGTTACTTGCTGTTCTTATCATCAGAGGAGCTCAGGACCTCTGTGTCACTAAGGATGGCTGTGGTGCTTTTCAGGACACCCCTGGTCTTTGTTTTGAGTGTGCCTTCTCAGCTCCAGCATGGAACCTTCAACCTATTAGCACAGGTCCTTCACTTTACTGGCATAGACTTTCTAGCTCCACCACTGACCTTTGAGCCTTCCCAGCAAGTCCTTCTTGTAGGCTGTAGACCTCCAGTTGGGAGGAACTATCATGTGCTCTAGGTTTGTATCTAGACTCATGTAGGACATTGCTGTGGGATTTAAGCCCTTGGCTGAATATTCTATGTCTTTAGTGTTGTGGATAGATTTCCTACACTTTCTTGTGTTAACTCTGGGTGACCATCACAAAATAATGTAAATTCTGTGTCCTGATTCTAATTGTTCTCCGCACAACCCATGACTACAACAGGGTGATAAACAATACTACAAGTAGTGTCAAATAGGCCAAATAGGCAGCAACTTCTCATCCCCACTAAATTCAAGGGATAGGATCTTGAAACAGATTCAAAATCCAAAAGTCAGCTACAGCTGGAAGCCATCTCTGAGAAGCAGTCATTTCTTAAGGGTTCTAAATATCAGCAATAAAGCTACCTGCAGGCAATTTACAAGCATCAACCCAGGAATTAAAACTTAAAAAAATATGAGAGAAAACACGCAAGATCAACCCCAGATTTCTAGGTCACCAATGGCAACTTTAGGGGGGCAATAGGTGGAACAATTTGGAAATCACCCATATGGACACTCTGAAGTGTTAACAGCCCATATAACAAAGCAGATGAATGAGAGTCTAGAAAAAATCCAATCAGAAATAATCTGATAGCTACAGAGATGGTGACCATAATGAAAGATGAGCTTAGAAATTGTAGAGCAGATATAGATTTTTAAAATAGAGGATCCTAGAAAAAAATGATGGAAACTATGAATGCCCAACACAGGAAAGAAATGGAATCCACAAAAACAGATTCAAACAGATATCCAGGAAAGTATACACAGTAGCAGAAGCCAATGTGAAGACAGATTATCAGATAGACAAGACAGGACTGTGCTTAGTGATCATGCAGAGAAAGATTTCTTAAAAACAGCATGAAACCATGAAAAATCATCCAACAGCTGCTAAGTGATACAGAAAAGAATAACATAAGATTGATCAGAATCAATAAAAAAGTGGGAGATAGCACAAATGACAGAAAACCTGTTCCCAGAAATAATGGTAGACAACTTACAAAATGTGGAAAAACAATTTGACATACAGATAAGTGAGTCATACAGACTCCAATTAGCCATGATAAAAAAATCTACACCAAGGTATATAGTAGATAAAATTTTAGAAATTCAACACAAGGACAGAATATTAAAAACTGTTAAGAGAAAAGAAACAAATCACATATAAAAGGAAGACCATCTGAATCACAAGAGACTTTGCAACACAAGCCCTCACATCCCAGAAAGCATGAAGTATTTCAAGAACTAAATTAAAACAACTTCCAGCCCAGACACTTTGCAAAATTACCTTTCAAAATTGATGGAGAAATAAGATTGTTCCATGATAAAGAACATCGAAGAAATTTATGACCATCAAACCACCACTTCAAAATGTTCTGAAGGACATTGTAGAAAGACATTGTGAGGACTACAATGCTAGGAGCCCCAACAGAATGAATCCAGGTAAGGTAAGTAATTAAACCGAAGGAATAAAAAGAGAACCAAGAATAGGAATAGTGACATACAGACTGTCATGATGTGAAATCCAGCAATACTATTATTCTTTGTTCAGAATGATTTTAACCTGCTTTAGTTTGCTTAATCTAAACATAAATGAAGATATGGATAACTGCATGTATGTTTAAGTGTATAGGATTGACAACCATGTTACTAAGTTTTTGTTGGACAGTTGAACAGAACTGTTTACAGTCTCGCTGTCTGAATTCCCACTTTGCATATTCCACTCTTGAACAACTATTTGTAAAATGACAATATGTAAACATCAACTTGTGATTACTTATGGTTTATTTTTTATTTTTTTCCTCTGAACATATACATTATTTCTACATATTTTCTGTTTTGCTTAGTCTTTCTTTAAATAAAATTAAAAAAGGAATAGTGACATAACAGGAAATTAATACATATCCATTATAGCCTAAGTGTAAATGGTTTCAGTATACCAAACAAACAAACAAAAAGACTGTCAGAATGGATTAAGAAGCAAGGTCCAACAACATGCTGCATGAAGAAACACATTTAATTCAAAAATCAAATCATAGAAGTAAAGTCAAAGAGTGAAAAACAATACTTCATGCAACAGGAACACTGCAAAAGGTGTAGCTATCCTATTTCCAGACAAAGTAGGCTTTAATCCAAGACTGAGTAAGAGAGACAAAAAAAGATCACTATATCTTTGTAAAGGGAACAATCACAAGTATACATGTAACAAATACTAGTGCACCAAAATCAAATAAGAACTAATATGATTATAATGGGGGACCTCAATACCCCACTGTGACAAATAGATCAACTAGAAAAAAAAAAAGCAAAGAAAGGTTGAAACTGAACCAAATTTTTGAACAAATGGAGGACTATATCTAGAATCATAAAGAACACAAAAATTAGATCCCCCCCAAATAAGACTCAATCCAAAAATGAGCAACTGAAATGAATAGACATTTTTCAGAAAAACTAGTATTGGAAAAAAAACAAGCATGAAAAAAAAGTTTAATATTTCTGGTTATTATAGAAATGT